ACTGGGGGTTTTCAATGAGATGTAATACATAGAAAATTAAGCTCAGTGGTCTCATACATAGAAATCACTCAGGAAATTTAAATTGTTGGAACTGCTAGAACTGATTTAAGAAGTGATATTTAACCATGTGAAAGGCAGAGCAAATGAAACACACTGAAGTCTTGAAGGATCATAGAGACTGTGGTTTTTCTGTATCACAAGCATATTACTAATGAGGGAAGATGAACTTAGTGCATAGAATGGGGTACTGTAGAGGGCAGATCTTTTGACTTTGGGGATGATACTAGGACTTCATGGATAGGATATCAAACTGAAGTTAATCAGATTTGTATCATTAGACACTATTCCTGCTAACTTGTGGAGAGTAGGTACCCAGCCTTGGGCAGACTACTTAAACTCTGTGTCTCACTGTCCTCATCTTTAAGGTAGATTCAATAAGAACAGCTACCCATAGACTGAATGTTGAATGAATCACCATTTATAAAGCACTTAGAATGGCTCCTGTGATTTAGAAACTGCTTTAGCTGCTCATTGAATGGATCACAGATGTCTGGTAGCATAAGAGAACCTCAGGTTCTGTTCCTTTTCTACCTACCATGAAAAAAACACTTCATGAAAATCCCAGACTTCCCCTGACCCTAAACTACTAGTGCCTAGACTATAAGACTGCTGAGCCTACTGCTTTTCTTGCTCGGTCTGACTGGAACACTCTCACATAGATTTGACCTAAGCTTTTCCTTGCCTCGATCACCTGAATTGGGCTCCAAATGAGGGAGCAGGCTCCATACTCACTAGCTTGAAAGCACCAAGTACTTCCCTCTGATGTAAACATCACCACTCACCCTTTCAAAGATCTCCCAGTGGTAGCCTGTGTATCACATTCCATTATGTTTGGTTCTTGTGAAGAACTTTGATGTGATCCTCTTGAGGTTGTTGTCACCTCCCGTTTGCTTTCTATTCTTCGAGCAGATTTGAACAGAAAGAAAAAAATGCAGTAATATATATGCAAACAGCCTTTTACATTCTAGTAAGGAGCCTTTGAATTATACTTTATAGAGTTAAGATTACTTGCATCTTGTAAGTTTCTAGATTTTCTCCCTGCTCCAGTGGATTCACTTTTTGTGAATTCTACTATATACATTTTGTCTTTTGTTGTGTTTTTTTGAACCTTGAATGCCTTCTGAGTAGTACTGTTTCAAAGTTACCTACTAACCTACTAATAATACCTACTTAGCTTTCTTCTACTTTTCTCAGTCGAAAACACTACACTGGATCTCATGTAGGGACAAGAGGTTTCATGCTGGATTTCTTAAGTGTTGCCTGGAATTGTGGTGTGGAGGATTTCAAGGCAGCTTTGAGGTCACAGGGAGAAAGTCCTATGACTTGCACAAAAGGATGCACCAGATTCAAACAGGTTATCATTGTGGAAGAAAGGTTGTAGAATTGAGGTGGGAAAAGTGTAGGGCACAGTCTTTGTCTATGTTTGTAATGCGTTATTAAGTTCATAGTGGATGAAACTTGTCATATTGTCTTCATCTTTTTTTTTTTTTTTTTTTTTTTTTTTTAATTTAATTTAATTTTATTTATGAACATACTGTACAGAGGAGTTACAGTTACATGGGCAGGATAATGTGTACATTTCTTACCAAGCATTGCAGCCTCCTCCTTTGTTTATCCTTCACATCCCTTCCCAGCCTCCCCCGTCCCCCTCTTCATCTTTTTTTGATATATGGAATCTTTTATGATGAAGTTAAGAACCATGGCAGATGAATGATAAGACCCTGAGTGCCACTGGTATGCATGTCACGGATTTATTGTTCTGACCTAGCCTTTGCCCTGCATAAGGATGTCATCTCCAAGCATTTGTATATGAATTTACATTAATACATTAAACCATTTATGTACATACATACCATTTGTTTTCTCTGATAATAGTTAAGTGTAGGCTTGTTTAAAAAATGTAAAATGAGCTGGGTATGGTAGTAGTACATACCTGCAGTCCCAGCTGAACAGGAGAAGTACTAAAGAAGTCTAGAGAAATATTGGTGCTCAGTAGTTCAAGATCAGCGTAGGCAATGGAGTGAGACCCTGTCTGACAAAACATAACAAAAGTTAAATGAAAGTTTCATTGTGAATATTAATATTGAGTTGTATACTTAAAATGGGATGGATTTTATTGCATGTGAATTATCTCTCTTACAGTTCTTATATAATTCTTGTATATTTTTTTCCTGTGATGGTACGTGGGCTTGAACTCAGGGCCTTGTGCTCTTGCTTGGATTTTGTGTGTGTGACTGATACTACCACTACCACTACCAGTCCACCGTATTTAATAGTTAACTGGAGATGGAGTCTGTGGACTGGTTTTAAACAACAGTCCTCAGATCTCAGCCTCCTGAGTAGATAAGATTATAAGCATGAGCTATCAGCACCCAACTTGTATATCTTATTTGAACTGTTGTTAAAAATTCTAAATAGAAACTTTTTTGTTGTTGTTGTTGTTGTTTGGGGATTTTTTGGTACCAGTCCTAGGATTTGAATTCAGGGACTGTGCACTGTCTCTGAGCATTTTTATTTATTTACTATTTTCTCTCAAGTCTAGCACTCTACTACTTGAGATATAGCTCTACTTTTTTCTTATGGTCAGTTGTGGGGCTTGAACTCTAGGCCTGGGCACTGTCCTCAGCTCTTAAGCTCAAAGCGAGCGCTTTACACTTGAGCCACAGTGCCACTTTGTTTTCTGGTGGTTAATTGGAGATAAGAGTCTCACAGACTTTACTGCCCAGGCTGGCTTTGAACCACAATCCTCAGATCTCAGCCTCCAGAGTAGCTAGGATTACAGGTGTGAGCCACCAGTGCCAGGCTTGGCTTTTTTTTTTTTTTTTCCTGGTTTTGGGGCTTGAACTCTAGGCCTGGGCACTGCCTCTGAGCTCCTTTTTGCTGAAGGCTAGCACTCTACCACTTAAGCCACAGCTCCACTTCTGGCTTTTTTTGAGTAATTTATTGAAGATAAAAGTCTCACAGACTTTCCTGCCTTAGCTGGCTTTGAACTGCAATCCTCAGATCTTGGCCTCTGAATAGCTAGGATTACAGGCATGAATCACCAGCACCTGGGATACTTCTAGCTTTTGACAGTTAATTGGAAACACAAGTCTCAGGCTTTGTCTCATAAAACAGTTTAAAAATATATTTTCTGGTTATAAAAGTAATATACACAAGTTAGGTGCCAGTGGCTCACACCTATAATCCTAGCTATTTGAGAGGCTGAGATCTGAGGATCGCGGTTTAATGCCAGCCTGGGTAGAAAAGTCCCTGAGACCCTTCTAATTAACCATCAGAAAACAGAAGCTCAGCAACAGCAGCCAGGCCCTGAGTTCAAGCCCTAGGAGCGGCGTGTGCACATGCGCGCATGCGCGCGCTCACACACACATACACACACACACACACACACACACACACACACACACACACACACACACACACACACACACACACACACACACACACACACACAGAGTAACATACATATATGGAACCGGGATACATTCTAATAGAGAAGGAAGCATTAATGTCCTTTAGTAACTTAACATTTGATGATGTTTTCTTCCACTATTTTTTTACTCCATTGTGTAGATTATTTTTAAGTTATTTCTGAGTATAGAACTTTACTTTGTCTTTCCTTCACTTAATATTCTAACCATTTAAAATGCTGCCAAAGTTTTCTTATAAACATTTTAATTGCATGCATTGAGGCACTGTGTGAAGATATTGTAAATTAATCATTCTCTGTTGTTAGACATTGATAAGAACTAGCACTAAAATGAACACCTTTGAGCATATTCCCCAGTGTCATATTTGGATTTATTTCCTTAAATGTATGACAAATAGATATATCAATGATTCTGAGTGCTGTCAAGTTGCATTCTTCCATGAGGGCCTCTGTTAACCTATAAAGTGTCTTCTCTAGGTAATAAATTACTAGGCAGATGTGGTTCTGGGATTCCAAGCTTGAAGTGGATTGTGGGCTGTGTTACCCTGGCTTACACTCCATGGGGCCTCAGTGCAATGTATAGCTGCACTTTGAGAGGAAGGCCCCATTTATGTTCTTCCTGTATCTCACAGAGAGCACCTGTTTCATAGATCCTCAATATGTGTGTAAAAAAGTAAAAGCTTTAATTCATAAATGAAAAGTGACATGTTCTTGCTCTAGTTGGTTCTTTTCATGAAGAAAATTAACATCCATGTGTTTCTCAGATACTTACATTTTTCTTAATTGTTCATAAAGTTATATTTTTTATTCTTAGCATTTTTAATTTGGTATTTTTAATTTGGTTACATGTGTTCTAGCTTTACTAATACTCTTCCTATTTATACTTACATTGTTTTCTGAAAAACAAAGTTTTATTTTTACTTTTATTTTGTTTTACTTTATGCTTCTGCTCTTTTGATTTTCAGTATGCAAAATTCTTCATTCAGGCATTTCTTTTTACTATTTCATTTAATTTCCTACATTAATCTATATTAAATAAGTATATTTTTGATAAGCTTTGTAAAGCCAGAATTATATATTTTTTTCTAATAAGTCAGTTTTCCAGTTACTAATTTTTATGTAATTTTTCCTTTCCCTACTGATTTGAGATGCTCTTTGCATGTGCTTAATTCTTGCATCTGCTCTGATTAGAATGTTTTAATGAATTTAAAAATGATCCCATTCTTACTATGGCTAAGCATTGTTCATTTCCTGCATATTGTAATTTAAGTTCATTTTGTTTCAGTGTTAACATTTGTTTAAATTGATTTAATTTAAATATATTAATTTTAATTCTAACATTTCTTCTTTGCTCCTTGAATCAGTCACTGAGTGCCTGAAAAAAGTGGGATTACTGGTTTTAGAGGGACTATCCTACTTACAAATGATTCAGATTTTAAGCATGGTCCAAAGCAGGTATTGTCATTCAGTTTTAAGAAGCTAACAATTCTTCTTTCTGTTTGTTTTTTAGGGTTTGTTATGTCAGATACTTTCAGCATTCAGACTTGATACAAAAGAAGTTGGTTTTTTCACTAAAAGTCTTGGATATGAGCCTATAGATTACTATCCCGGATTGCTTAAAAATGTGAGTGCAAATTTATTAGTATTGAAATTTTCTTTGCTGAATGTTTCATCAGCAGGAAGGGTATATGGAAACATTTCACTCCTCCAAGGGAGTTGTTTAACTTTTCTTTGTTTATCTCTTCTTACCTTGAGTGGACTTATGGCCATGTAAGGAAGAACTGTGAGATGGAAGATTCTGAGAAAGAAGAAGGAAACCAGGAAAGTTTTAGTAAATCAACCAATCGCACTCTCTCATAACACATCTTACACACAGAGATTTCAGGGAGAAGAGCATTCCTTACCCAGTATAAACACTGCCTTGTACTGTCGAACAAATCTTGTATTTAAAATAACCTGATTTGAAGTTTATGTTGAAGCAAGGCAGAAAGTTCACTAAATAATCTTGCAAATAGTATTACATATTTTGGTATTTGTATGTAATCTATGTTTTCTTCTGCCATCTTTAATTTTTGCCAAATTCAAGAAATGTTAACTCTTCCAAACTATTATGAAAATTTTAGACACTTTTGGGGGGAAGCTTTATACATATAAAAAACATTTTTTAAGAAGAACTAAATTTGGAAAGAAGAAAAAAATAAACTTTACCATGTTTTTATGTTTTTAATGGGGTTAGTCTTAAATCTTAGGAAAGTAACCATCTGCCTATTGTCATTGCCTAAAGAGGAATTCAGAAATTCAGAACAATAGACATTAATGTAAAATCCACTTATTGGCTCTACTTTCTTTTTGCTCTGACAAAGTAAAACATAAGGAGAGGACAGGGTAGGGAATCTCAACGGAAATATCACTCTCACCAAGAAAAATAGAACTAATGTAATCCTGTTTGTGGTATGAGTTAACCTGCAACTGATTTTGTTTTACAGATGGTTTTATCATTAGTGTCTGAACTCAGAGAGAATCATCTTAACGGATTTAACACTCAAAGTCGGTAGGTGTTAAAGTAAACATCCCTCTTCTCAAGTTTCAAAATGCAGCAGCTCAGTTATGAGAGTACAGTTCTCTAATTCATAGAAAATGCATGTTCATAGTTACGGTTATATTTGGTACAGAGATTATTTTAGTAGAATACATCACAAGTTGATGAGTTCTTTCAAATTTTCTTTTCTTTATTTTTAATCATCTTTATCTGAACTCTCATGGGTCAGTAAGTAAATCATGTAGTATCTTTTGTGTACCCACCTATTAGGTTAAAAGCCCTACATAGATAGTAAGGGACACAAAAGAAAATAGAGTTGTTAGGCTTACCCTGGGGAAACTTACTGTGTAAGAAGAAAACAGGCATGGAAGCTGAGTGTATGCTGTATGTTCTGGGCTAGACTTCTTTTGCTCTCCCTCCCTCAAAATTTGCCACTGTATGTATAAGTGTTTGCAGTTATACATACACACACACAGGATATTCACAAAGCAACAGGTATTTGATGTAAACATATGGCCTATTTTAGAAGCAACAAGTATTTGATGTGTACATATGACCTATTTTCAGAAACACAGTATATTAAAACCTAGACTAAACAAATCAAATAACTTCAGACAAATTCAAAAGCAATTAATCACATTACAAATGTTTGCTTTGCTCTGTGAATGAATTCAGAGTTGTTTTCATTGGTGAGCATCTGTTTTTATCAAATCATTAACCAAAAGAATCTAGATACTTGAGATTTTTGTAAACTTTGTCTCTCTCTTTCTGTCTTCCTTCCTTTTTTTCTTTTTCTTTTTTGATAAAACTGTTGTCAATTAAAGCCTTCTCAGTAATGGCCTTTTTTTAGAAATCTGTTGCATCTAATCCTTAAAGTAAAATATCAAGTTCTATGATACCACAAGTATAAGTAATGAAATAAAAATAGATTCAATTTTAATAAAATTAAAAATCTCGTGACTGTGGGTTTAGCTCAGTGGTACATGCAAAGCATGCTCAGTGCCTTGGGTTTGATCCCAGCACCACAATAAAAAGTAAGAGTTTTTTTTGTTGTTGTTGTTGTTATTTTTTGTGTGAATTGAAGGATACCACCATGAAAACAAAAACAGCCTACTGAGTTGAGTGAAAACTTTTTTAGATAATATCTCTGAGCTCCTTGTGATGGTATACAACTGTAATTTTAGTACTTGGGAGGCTAAGGCAGGACTTTCATGAATTCAAAGCTTAACTGGGCTATATAAGGAGTTTGAGGCCACCTAGGATACCTAGCAAAGCTTTATCAAAAAGACAGAACAAGACAAAAACAAAAATATAAAGAAAAATATTATCTCTGTTGAGAAATAATATTTACTATATATTATGAATTTTGTTTTACAATGATAGCAACAAAAATGAGTTCAAAATTGAGTTGGGACTAGAGATGTAACTCAGTGGCAGAGCGCCTACCTAGCATGCACAGAGTTCTAGGCTTAGTTCCCAGCCTCACAGACACAGGCAAAAGACCCAAGTAGACATTCTTCTGAAGAAGATATATAACAGACCAATAAGCACATGAAACCATGCTCAGCATCATTACTCATTAGGGAACATGTAAATGCAAGCCACAGTGAAATACTTCTTCATACCCACTAATAATAAGAAGAACCAAATGGAAGCTAACAAGTGTTAGTGAGAAATAAAATATGCATCATGTGGAAAATAGTTTGGTGTTTTCCAAAAACAAATTAGTCACAGAATTACCAGAATATCTGCTAGGTATATATTTTTTTTAAAAATTGATGCAGCAATACAAACAGATATCTGTAAGCCAGTTTTAATTTTCACTAATCATCTGAGAATAAACTGATATTACTATAGCTATTACTTCTAAAGCTATTAGAAAACAGAAATGATCACCCACAGACTTGGGAGTTATTTGTAAGGAAGGAAGAAAGGAAGGAAAAAAGAAAGAAAGAAAAGCAACGCTCAAAAACAGCACCCAAGCCCTGAGTTCAAGCCCTAAGAATGGCATATGCATGCATCCATACCCCCCCCCCCACAAATGCACACATCAAAAACAAAAAGCCTGTGTGAATAATAAAGATAAAGAAGAGAGAGAGGGAAGAAGGGAGAGAGAGAAAAAGAAAAGAGAAAGGAAAAAAAAGGAAAAGTTATTCAGTAGTGATGTCAGAAATGTGAGAAATATGGCAGAACAAAAAGGCTCAGATCTCATTCTCCCACATAGATATCATCTCAACAACATATAGCAAAACAAACAAACAAAAAAACCCCAAAAAACTCTCATTAAAACTTTAGAAGTTACTGTCTCACAAACACAAAGTCAAGATGAGCTTGAAATTACTAAGAAAAGTTATTTCATATCTACATCAATAGTCCTTCCCCCACACAGGTGCAACTTGATAAGACTGGAAAGAAATGACTAGCTTATGGTTACTTCCTTAGGAGGGAAAGAGTGGAATGTGCATCTAACCTTTCAGCATTTTAGGGATCTGTCTGACAAAGTGGTTTCTGTGTCTCCTGACTCAGCACTGATGGAGAACCGGCATACTTTGCATGCTTAGGGGTCACAGAGAACAAAAGAAAGCTCAGTGAAAGTACCAGAGAAGAGACAATACTGCAAAGAGAGGCTGGCACAGCTCAATAAGCCTGAGCTTTAAGTGCCCAGTTTATGGCTTCTCCTGTGAGAGAAAGAGAACAATAGAATTTGCATGTAATATTTTGATTGTTCTAGGTGCTGCTGGAGATTGGGGTTGGTGGGTTTTTTGTTTTTGTTTTTGTTTTTATTTTGTGTGTGTGTGGTGTTTTGGGTTTTTGTTTGTTGTTGTTGTTGCCTGACTTGTACTGCTAACAGGAGACTAGGATATACTTTGAATGTCTGGAAGCCACAAAGAATAGTCAAGTGGCTTGTTGCAGCATCTTAGAAATGGTGGTACCACATACAGGCAGCAGAGGAAGCAAAATATTATATGCTTTTGAAAAATGAGACAGAAAAAAATCTCTAATTGAGAAATTACATGTACAGACCTAGAGAAGGCACATTCCTAGAAAAGCTCTAGCTGGGCTAATAAATCAACGTCGTTCCTTAATAAAAGCTAGTATGGACAGACTGAAAGAGGTGGCTTGATTTTTGTTTTTATTTTCTGTACAAATCTGTAAAAATAGTAAGACACACACACAAAGAGGGAGTCATGGTCTAATCCAAGGAATAAGCCTCCCCCTCCAAAAAACCCCTAAAGAAACAGGTCTATGAATTAAAGAATTAAAAAATATTATCTTAAGGAATCTCAGTGCACTACAAATATAGCAAACAAGCAAAATGAGGAAAACAGTGCATGAATAAAAGGCGAATATATACTTATAATGCATGTATGTATATATTATACATATGTATATATACATATATGCACATGTGATATATATGTAGAGAAAGAGAGAAAAAGAAGAGAGAGAGAACCAAACAAATTCTATGCTGAAAAATATAGTAAATGAACTAAAAGTTTCACTAGAAGGGGTTCAATACTAACCTTGACCAGGCAGAAGAAAAAAGTAAGATTCAAAAAGAAGTAATTAGAAATTAACAAGTAAGAGAAAGAAAAAAGATGAAGAAAAACAAAGATAAAGCTAAAGGACTTATAGAATAAATAAAATGAAAACTTACACCCATTACAAGTGTCCCAGAAGATGGGTAGGGAGGAGGCAGAGAGGAAGGGGACAGAGGCAGTGGCAGTCAGAGAGTTTAGTGATCCCTCCCCTCTACACACACCCCCTAAAGAAATCCCAGACTTGAAGAAAGAATTGGAAATCCTGACAGGAGAAGTCTAAAGGACTTCAGATAGGATGAACCTAAAGATCCACACCAAGACATTGCAATAAAACAATCAGAAGTTAAAGCTTCAAAACTGCAAAAAAAAAAAAAAAATTAGTGTGTCATGTTCAAGGGAACTCACCTAAAACTGTCAGTGAGTTTCTCACTAAAAGTATTATAGGCTAGATAGGAGTGAGATGATGTATTTAAAATGTTACAGGGACAATGAACAAAACAACAGCCCTCTGCTAACCAAGAATATTGTGTCCAGCATAACTTCCCTTCAAAAATGAAGAGTTCTGGGAATGATGTTGCACTTCTTCAATCCCAAATGGGGCATCTGAATTTCAAGCCAGTTTGTATTGCATAGTGAGCCCAGCAGCATAAAATCATACAAAAACATAATGTTCTCTTGTAGAGATAAATATGTAGACAAAGATAAAAACTGGTAATATTGAATGGGTCTTGTGCTCTACCACTTAGGACATGTTCCCAGCCCCATAACTCTTTTTTTTTTTACACCAGTACTGTGACTTGAATTCAGAGCCTTGCACTCTTGCTTGGTGTTTTTTGCTCAAGGCTGTGCTCAGCTACTTGAGCCACAGATCCATTTCTTGCTTCCTGCTGATTGATTGGAGATGAGAATCTTAGAGATATGTCTGTGCTAGCTGGCTTTGAACTGTGATCCTCACCTCTCAGCCTCCTGAGTAGCTAGGATTACAGACATGAGCCATTAGTGCCTAGCCACATATCCCTTTTAATTCTGATATAAAGATAAAGACAAAAATAACTCCTAAGTTAATGAATATCAAAGTTGTAATTTTTAGCAATGACAAAGTGAAGAAGAGATTTAAATGAATAGTTTTTGCGATTGAGGTTAAATATTATCAGCTTAAATGGGTTATTATAATTCTAAGCTGTTTATGTGAACCTATGGTAACAGTAAAGAAAACCTCAGGAAGTGCACAAAAGAAAATGAGAAGGAAATCAAAACAGGTCATTGCAAAAAAAAAAAAAAAAATCAATGCAACACAAGAGAAGGCAGCAAGAAAAGAACAAAATAATGACGAGATAGAAAAAAATCCTGGAAAAATGACAGTAATATTTTATTGATCACTATTTTTCTTTTGGAGCTATTGGGGTTTGACTCAGTTTCATCTTTGCTAGTCCAGCATTCTTCCACTGAGTCACATCTGCAGCCCTTTTT